ATGATCGTCAAGTCGCCCTCCCACCTTGTGGCGAACGGTGTCTCACCCACGGGCGAGATGGCGGCCTTCCTCGGCATCTCGCGCACTTCGCCCGGCTGGAAGTACGTCATCACCGAGGGTCCGCGCAAGGGGCACATCGGCACCACCACGCAGGCGACATTCTGCGTCAACGAGCTCTGGAACGGCATCGAGTACCGTGCTCCTACCTCCGACCTCACCCCGACGGACATCGAGGGCGCGTGGCCGGAGCCTGTGACCGCGGACGAGACGCCCGACGAGTCGGACAAGGCTACGCTCGACAACAACGTGACCCGCGGCGACTCCGTCTTCCTCCCCACCACCGACAACCACGCCGGGGGGCTGACCCTCGACGAGGAGGTGGTGATCATGCCAGACCCGGCCAACGACGGCAACGTCAACCCGCCCGCAGCGGGTGCGCCTGCGCCGCGCACCACCCGCAGCCGCGGCGGCGTCTCGACGGGCGAGTACAACAACATGCTCAACGCCCGCCTCGCCGCCAATGCCACGCCCTTCGGCATCTGGGCGGCTGCGGCGGCCGCATCCCCATCGTCGTCGGTCTACCGCAACACCACGGACCAGTGCGTCGCGTACATGTCGAGCGTGGACGGCCAGATCATGCCCATGCCGGACAACATCGTGCCCAAGCACTACAAGGACATCGCCAACATCCGCGACCCCAAGCTGCGCGACGCGTGGTACAAGGCGTATGACACCGAGTTCCTCGGCCTCATCCAGAACGGCACACTCAAGCCCATGCGCCGCCCCGCCAAGGTGCGCGTCCTCCCGCTGAAGGAGATCGCCTCCCGGAAGTCCGACGGCCGGTGCAAGTGGCGCGGCTGTGTCATGGGCAACCTGATGCGGCCCGGCGTCGACTTCACCAAGACCTTCGCGAGCGTCGTCCGCTACGGCACGACCCGCACCGTGCTCAACGTGGCCGCGCAGGAGGACATGGAACTCATCACGTGCGACCAGCCCATGGCGTACACCTGGGCGGAGCGCGGGGAGGGCGAGACCTGGTACTGCGAGATGCCGAAGGGGCTCAAGGGCAAGCCCGAGTACTGCTACATCGACCCCATCACCGGCGAGGAGAAGGACATGGTGTGCGAGGTCGGCAACCTCTACGGCGCACCATCCGCAGGTAACGCTTGGTGGAACCACGTCAAGTCCATCAACAAGGCATTTCCTGGGCTCGTTCAGTCCGAGGCGGACCCGAGCTGCTTCGTCCTCACCCGCAACAGCACGAAACTCATCGTCGTCATCTACGTGGACGACTTCGGCATCTTCCACTCCGGGACCACCGCTGGCAGGGCGCTCGCGCACGAGTACATCGAGCACTTCAACAAGCACGTCGGCAAGCCGCTCAAGGTCCACGAGGGAAAGGTGCACGAGTTCCTCGGGCTCAACATCACCAAGACGCAGACCGGTTTCAAGCTGTCTGCCAGCAAGTACATCGACACGCTGCGCGCGCGCTTCTTCCCGTCAGGCGTCACGCACGCGGGCTACAAGGTGCCCGCGGACAAGGACCTCCCGTCCATCGTCATCAGCGCAGCCGAGAAGAAGACCGCGCCCGACCCGCAGCTCCTCCAGCGCTGCCAGTGCCTCATCGGCAGCCTCATGTTCGCCACCAACGCGCGCCCCGACATCCAGTACACCGTCTCGCAGCTGGCGCGCTGCATGGCTTGGCCCGACGCGAACATCGAGGCCGCCGCCGAGCGCTGCCTCATCTACCTCATCGGCACGCAGGACCTCGGCCTCCACTACGAGCGTGTCACCGACCCCAAGCTCTTCGGCTGCTCCGACGCGAACTGGTGCACCCGCCAGAGCACCTCCGGCTGCGCCTTCAAGATCGGCACCGCGATCGTCTCGTACTTCTCCAAGAAGCAGGGTCACATCTCCCTCTCGACATTCGAGGCCGAGATCTCTGCCGGCACGCTGGCGGCTTGCGAGGCTGTCCACCTGCGCTCGCTCCTCGCGTCGCTCGGCTACAAGCCCAAGGGCCCGACCATCATCAAGATCGACAACACGGCCGCGCTGCGCGTCGCCGAGGACCCGGTCATGCACGACAAGACGAAGCACATCCTGCGCAAGGAGCTCAAGATTCGCGAGCTCGTCGAGTCCGGGGAGGTCAAGGTCGAGTACGTCGAGAGCCTCAAGAACTTCGCCGACTTCTTCACCAAGCCGCTCCCGCGCAAGGAGTTCGAGTCGTTCCGCAAGGAGATCATGAACGACACCGCCTAGGACGGCACAGAGGGGAAACGCCGACTTCCCCTTCATCAAATGTAGTCGACAACCGGCAGTATGGGCGCTCCTGGAGCTCCCCGAGTCACTTGTTTGTTCGTCCTCCACCCTTGAGGAGGCTGCGCAATTGTGCGCGCGATAGTAGGAGATGTAGGAGTCGTCTAGCTTCTTCAGATCCTCAGCCTCGCTACCCGATGCGAGGATGGGGGGCTGTTGAAGACCGACGACCGCGCAGCCGTCTAGTCTACGGCCACACACACACACATAGTGTCCTTACCACCCCTGGACTGCATCTGCGCAGTTTCGTACCGCTGCGGCGCGGTTTTGCAAAAACCGTTCTGCAGCGGCGCGGTTTTGCCCTTCACCCGCAGCCTGGATTGATAGTCATTGTGGGTGTGGGGGCCGCGGGCCAGGACTTTTGTTTGAACAAAGTTTTGACAGTACATTTCTGTCGGGCCTTGAAACAGCTTGTGAGTGGTCACTGAAGACCTTCACAAGAAGGCGTACTCCCCCGACGCTCTCAAGGACCTCACGTCCGCGAGCCTCGCCAAGTTCAAGACGGGCATCGAGCTGGCGAACAAGTTCCTCAAGGGCTCCCAGTGGCACCTCCCCGACGAGGTGATCGAGGAATACATCCTCGACGCGATCGCCGCCAAGGGGGCCACGCTCGGCGCAAACATGCGCGTGCAGATCGGCATGCAGCGCCAACTCGCCGCGCAATCGGGCAAGACGTACGGCCTCAAGGCGTCCACGCTCGCGATGCAGGGCATCCTCGACCAAGACAACGCGGACCGCGCCAACGAGGCCAAGGCGGCTGCGCAGGCGGCGTTCGAGGCGGATATTGCCTCGCAAGGCGTGCTCAAGGAGAAGCTCGCGGCCGCCGAGTCCCAGGTCGCCGCTCTCCAGGCGCAGATCAAGTCCGACAAGGGCGGCGGGGACCGCGGCGGCCGCGCAGCCGCTGGGCGCAAGCCGTGCCCCCACTGCAATGGGTTGCACGGTGGCAAGTGCATCGGCGACCTCATCTGCAAGGGGGTCCCTGTCGCCAAGGTGCTCGAGGAACTCCCCGACCGCATCGACCACGAGGCGAAGGTGCGCATGGCCCAGTCCTCGTACAAGAAGGTGTGCGCCAAGTCCCCCGGCCGCACCCTCCCGCAAGACCCCTTCGCCAAGAAGTCGGACTCCACCGCGGCCAACCACGAGGAGGTGCGGGCGGCGCTGGCCGACTCTGTCACCCGCACGTTCGACCCGGACGGCATCGTCGGCGGCTTTGTCGCTGGCGTCGGCACCGACCAGGTCGAGGACACCTTCCCCGACTCCAACCCCACCGACACGCTCGCCATCCTCAAGGCCAAGACGGCGGCGCGCAATGCGGCGGAGGCACGGGCGCGCGGCGGGCTGTGGGTCAAGTTCACCTCGTTCGTCACCGCGCTGCCTCGCCCGTACATCGGCGCTTCCATCCTACTCGTCCTGCTCGCGTGCCTCATCCCGGTCTACATGGGCTCGCCTGCCTCGATCGGCACGCCTGTGGCCGACGCCGTGGACGAGCCCTCGAACATGGGCGTGATGGTCGAGTCCGTCACCGCACTACCCCTCGAGCTGTCCACCGGGCCGGCGACTGGCTCAGGTGGCGGAGCAGAGTACGCCATCGAGGAGGACCCGCTCCAGCCGATCTACCGCAAGGTCGCGGGCGACATGTTCCGCGCGGTGAATAACATCGACGTGCCCAAGACGGTCCCACTCGTCCTCTCGTACACGTGCATCATGCTCGCCATGTACGTGGCGCGCATGGACGCGATGCAGGCACACGCGCTTGTCGGGCATGTCAAGGTCGTCGACGCGTACGACACGACCGCCGGTGTGAACATGCCGGGATCGTATGCCGCTGGCGTCGACTCCAAGGCGGGCATGAACATGTTCCCGACGCCCGACTTCTTCCCTGCCGGGTGGCGCGAGCCCGAGAAGCCCATCTACATCCGCTGCGCAAACAACGACTACCTCAAGGCGAAGGGCGTCGGCACCGCGTACGCCTTCGCGCTGGCTGACCCGACCAAGCCGCAGGACACCAAGGTTGTGAACACCGAGTGGGTGAACGCGCTGTACGCGCCCGGACTCGCCATGCCTCTCGTCAGCGTCAAGGAGTGCAAGGCGCAGAACATCGTGGTCCGCTTCGACCTCTGCCCACCACGCTTCAACTACCCCTCCGGGCAGACCATCTACTTCGGGGAGGACTTCAACATCCACCTATCACAACACTAGGCACGGGACTGGCGCGCACTGGCACTAACCAGGTACCTTGGAGCACTTGGAGTGCAGTCGCAGGGCAAGGAGGTAGAAAACAGAATGTAGGTAGGTAGTAGAAAGGTGAAGAACAGCCAGGCTCGGACTGGACACCAACGCGGTATGGGTGGACGCTGGACAGATGATGACGACACGCACGAGCGACACACAGACACAAACAGGCTCACAAGACACACAGCCAGCTGGCTGCCACACCCCTGAGTCGGCGTACAGAATGTACTCGAGTACCGATCAAAAAAGAATTTCGCGGTAAAGGACTCGCTCGCTTTGCCTCGCCACTGCCTTGCGGGCGTGGAGATCGCCTTGCCCGGCGCGAGTGAGCCCCAGGCACCTAGCATCAGAGGAGAGCGTCCGGCTGGCTGCCTCGGAGGCGGCCACCCGACAGCAGCATGCTGCGCGTTTTGGCCGAATCGCAAGGCAATGCAACGGCACTCTCACGGGGCATGCCTGAGGCGGCTGAGGAGCACTCAGTCTGGAGGCCGCTGTTCCTTGCCGGCGTGCCCATGGTGCTGCTGAGCATCGCAATGCTCGCCGCCTACCACAGATTCAAGGAGAGAAGGCGCCGCTCCGCGTTGATCCTCTCGGCCAACCGGCTAGTTGACGTTTGGTCTGGCATGCACCTGACCGTTCGGTCTGTCCGCACTTCGCAAGCGGGGGAAAAGCTGCGCACGACCGAGCAGGTGTGAGAGGAGGCCGCGGTAGAAAGTGGCGTGTACCAATTGTGATGCGCCCCGGCGCGCGTGTCCAAAAGATATGTGCTGTGTTATATGCTTTTATGGTGTGTCTTGCGCGAGGCGACACCAACGGTGTGCGGCGTCTACGTTGTATGTTTCATAAAACTAGCATCAGAAGGCGGCGCTGCAGCTAGAGCACTCGACATTGCCCCCCCGCTCTCCGCCCGCTGCCGAGGCATCTCTCGGTTCTCCGACATCTCGTATCGACACCCCCGCCGCGCGCGCCCGCGCCGCGGGCCTTCTCCCCTCCGCCCCGGGCCCCGCGGGCCCCGTCCGCGGAGAGAGCGGTCCGCGTCCCTCCCATGTCCCAAGCGCCAACGCCATGCACAGCGGAGCAGGAGGCGGTGCTGGTGCCCTGCACTGGGGATATGCACAGGTCTCGGGGCGCGTTCTCTGCCGCGCAGCGCCAGCGGGCCAGCTCCGCGAGACGCGACCTAAGCGGGCTCTCGCGCGCGTGTCGGCCCTGCGCACGAACCTCTCGTGCGCACGTCGCGTCCATCCTCCACCGTGTGCGCCCTGCCCTCGCCGACGTCAAGGATTTAGGCGCGCCTCCGCCTTACCTGCACAGTCTATGCTGGCACTGTGTGTGTGTGTGGGGGGTCGATCGTGACGAGCGCTTGCCTTCTGGCACCGTCTCACAGGAGCGAAGACAAGTCCCCCGTTGACTTGTCGGCTCGCTCGGGTCGCCTCCGTCGCAGCTCCTTCTCTCCTTTTCTTCGCCGTTTCCGCGTTGCGCCGCGTACCCCAGCCAGGGCTAGGGCTCTCTTGCCCGCAACCCGATCCCGATCGTCTGGCCCGCTGGGTGTGCTTCGTAGCTCCCCGGCCCTGGATGTGAGGCTACTAACTGCACTCCAAGTGCTCCATGTGCGTACGGTATCGCACGCTCCCACTCACTATAGTGTCTACGAAAAAGTTCACTCACGCCGTGTGTGTGTGGCCTAGCAGGTTTAGAGTGACGTCCTTCCGGTCCCCACCTGCACGAGCAGGATTTTGGAAGGACGCGTGCGAAGTGCCCTCCTCTTTTTTGCACGACTCTCGAGCTTATCGCCTCGCCGTCCTCCTATGAACAAGGAAACCTTCTAGCTCATGTGCCAGAGTCCGCGCCAGTCTGCGCCCTTGAGCCTTGTCGTGCCAGTGTGAGAGGCGTAAAAAGAATTCTGTATATTGGCTTGCGAGGCCGTTGTTTCGTTGGCGCGGATCATCCGATCAGGGGGGAGGCGATCACGCCACACGCGCACGGCGAAGGGTGTCTCGCTCGACATATCGCCGCGTCGCGGTCGCCCCCTTCTCGTCGTGCTTCCCTTGTCGCTTCTTCCTCTGTCGCGTCGCATTCCTCTGCCTCGTTCTGCGACGCCGCCGCCGCCTGCCGGTCCCTTGTTCTCTCGGCTTCTTTCGCCTTTCGGCGCAGCTCCGCCCTCCTTGCTGCATATCCTGGCCCCTCGAGTCTATCGTGCTCTCCTCGAGCAAGGACGAGTGCACGAGTCTTCTGACGCTCACTGCGATCATTTGCCGCCCAGTCATATCATTGCAACAGAAAGAAAGAAAACAGACACCCCAAGGGAGGGATGGGAGGACGGCACGCCGCCACCACACAGGGATTTTAAGGAGAGGAGTGTGGTGCTAGCCGTCGCCCACCCTCGGGCGTCTACCACTTCCTATATCTCTCTCCGCAGTTTCTCACCAATTCTCGCAGCGACCTTCATGCCACCTCGCGTTCTTCCCACTCTCGTCGTTCTCTCTCCTGCTGTCTCTTCCCCTGACTCATCGCTCTCCTCGGCCTCGTTCTGAGACGCCGCTGCCGTCTGCCTTGCTCTCGCTGCTTCTCTCGCCTTTCTGCGTAACTCCGCTCTCCTCTCCGCGTATTTTGGTCCCTCGAGTTTAGAGAGAGAGATTTTTAGCAATACCAAACAAATCTAACACTCACACGTCATTTGGGGCCTGGAGCCCTGTTCACGCGCGCGCGAGACGTGCAGACAGGGTTGCCAGGTGAGAGCGAATGGCGCGGTTCACGCCTCGCACAACAGAGAGAGATGCGCTCTGCATGGTGGGACATAAAAGAAAGCGAGTACTTGGGCGAGTAGGCCGTGCGGTCGACGCTGCCGCGCGCGGCTTTGCGCGCGAGGCGGCGCAGCTTGAGAACGGCGGTGGGCGAGAAGCCGCCGCCGAACGTCTCGTGGAGCAGCAGGTTGAAGTTGTTGCGCTTGACAAAGATCGCGTCGTGGTAGAAACCGCGATGTGCCTTGACGTAGCCGTGGCCGTTCTTGTGGTCGAAGGGTTGGCCGGGTTGCCCGCGCGCCTTGCAGCCCATGTTGTTGTGTTGTGTTCGGATGCGTGTACACACACTGTCCGAGAACACCGGATCCGACTAGGGATACTCTTGGATGGAGGTGAGGACTGAGGAGAGTCCGGCCGCGGCTACAAGCATGGAGCGTTAGCGCTCTGCAAGCCACTAGTAGTGCAACGCGAATTCTCGCGCCAGTCCCGTGCCAGTGTTGTGCGACGGAGTTTGTAAAATTCTCTTTCTCGCTTCGGATGCATCGTGACATCTGACAACTGGATTTCCACTGGTTCGTCCTCCTCGAAGTCATCTTCCCCGGCTTCCTTCCGCTCTGAAGCCTGCTGGGCAATTGGAATTACGAATGAATTCTTTTTCTCGCGATGTCTGCCCCGCCGCGCCGCCGCTCGCGCCGCCTCGCCACCGGGGCCACCGCCTCCTCCGCCGCCGCTCCCTCGCCAGACACGCCGCCGCCCGCCCGCCTCCTCGACCTCCCCACGGACCTCCTCGAGCGCGCCCTCGCTCGCTGCGAGAGCCCCGTCGACATCGCTCGCGTCGCGGCCGTCTCGCTGCTCTTCCACGCCTCGCTCGCGGCGCAGGCCATCCGCTTGTGGGCGCAAGAGCGCGGCTTCGAGCTGCCGGCGCAGCCAGAGGGCGAGAGCTGCCCCGTGCAGTGGCTGTGCTTCGCTGCGTTGCTGTGCGAGTCCAACCCGCCGGCGAGGGCGGCAGCAGGCCAAATGCACAGCGTCTTCATCGACGGCGAGGGGCGGCTCTCGTCGTGCGGCAGTGAGGCAGGCTACTCAGGGCTACTCGGCCACGGCGAGGGCGTGGCGCGGCTCAACACGCCGACCCTCCTCCCTTCGCCGCTGGGAGGCGAGCGCGCCGTGAGCGTGTCGGCTGGAGGCGGGCACAGCCTCGCCCTCACCGCCGACGGCGCCATTTGGAGCTGGGGCGAGGGTGACTTTGGCGAGCTGGGCCACGGCGACGAGCGGACCCAGCTGCTGCCAAAGAAGCTCGAGGCCTTTGCTGGCCACCGCGTCGTCGCTGTGTCGGCTGCAGACTTCCACAGCCTCGCCATCACTGCTGACGGCAGCGTCTGGAGCTGGGGCTTTGGATACCGAGGCCAGCTGGGCCACGGAGATGAGCAGTCACAACGGCAGCCCAGGAAGGTCGAGGCCTTTGCTGGCCAGCGCGCCGTCGCTCTGTCGGCTGGGCAGTACCACAGCCTCGCTGTCACTGCTGACGGCAGCGCCTGGAGCTGGGGCTGGGGAGGCTTTGGCAGGCTGGGCCACGGCGACCGGCAGAAGCAGCTGCTGCCGAAGAAGATCGTGGCCTTTGCTGGGCGGCGCGTCGTCGCTGTGTCGGCTGGAGGTCAGCACAGCATCGCCATCACCGCCGACGGCAGCGTTTGGAGCTGGGGCTCGGGAGGCTCTGGCAGGCTGGGCCACGGCGAGGACATGTCGAACCAGCTGCTGCCGAAGAAGGTCGAGGCCTTGGCTGGCCAACGCTTCGTCGCTGTCTCGGCTGGAGGCGTTCACAGCCTCGCCATCACCGCTGACGGCGCGGTCTGGAGCTGGGGCGATGGAGAGCAAGGCCAGTTGGGCCACGGCGACTGGCAGACCCAGCTGCTGCCGAAGGAGGTGGAGGCCTTTGCTGGCAGGCGAGTCGTCGCTGTGTCGGCTGGAGATGTGCACAGCATCGCTCTCGCCGCCAACGGCGCCGTCTTTACGTGGGGCAAGGGCGAACGCAGCTGCCTAGGCCACGGAGAGGACATTTCGAACCAGCTGCTGCCCAAGAAGATTTAGTCGTGGGCGCGGAGGCACCGGGGTGTTCCCGACCTCATCTCACCCGCTGGCTGGGCGAACGCGAACGCTGTCATCCCATCTGCACCCGTCTGCTCGCCTCACCGAGTGACGCGCGCCGAGCCACATGTGCATGCACATGTATCAGTACACAGTGCTGAGCTGCCACGTGCTGGCCTGTGCTGCCTGCGACGCGAGAGGCCGGGAGCTGCTCCGGCTCGTGTCCCTGAAAACCCTGTCGCCTTGTGAGGTTGTGTGCTCCTGCCTCCGGGACCTCCGTCCGCGTCGCGGCCTCCGAGGCCAGCTCCGTCGAGTCGCCCGGGCGCGCGCGGGCACGGGCACCGAACTTACCCGTTACCGGTGTTGGCTAGTTCCATTTCACTGTGGCACAGCTCGCGTTACAAAACCTTGATTTGACCATTTGCGCAAAAAGGTACATCTCGGTGCCTTCCAGAGGCAGCTGCGTTCGCACTTGCCCCACGTAAAGACGGCGCCGTTGGCGGCGAGAGCTCGGGAT